GTCTTGTATTTGCATCAGTCTGTTACAATGACAAGCTAACAGTGACGAAGGAAAGGGAACATAAACCGAGGTTTGGCTACTAACAGTGAAGGCAAGGTCGCACGTCTTAACAGTAAACCAGATGCAGAATAATTCTGGTTTATCGAGGGTGAGCCTTTGTAGCCAGGAGCCAGATACCACCTCTGCTGGTTTAACTTTTCCATTTCTTACACTTGTGCAGTTGAGTACCCAAGTGCCAACCTATTTCTGTGTCTGTAAGACTCTTCCATGCCCGTGTTTTGAGATGGCATTCAGTAATATGAGGAAATTCTGTCCCCAAGTCTTCCAGAGAAATTTGACTATGCTTTTAACCGTCCTGGATCTTAAAATGGGAACTAATAAGAGGAGGAATTTGCATCATGCAATATGTGTACATGTCGTGGTTTAACTCTGGCTAGCAAAATACCACAAAGCTGCTCTCACAAACCCCCCACCCCTCCTCCAGTGGAGGGGGAGAATCAGAAGAAAAAGAAATAAGGAAGCTCGTAAAATTGAGATAAGAACTATTTACTAATTAAATCTGAGTTAATATATACAAATGCTACTAATAATAAATGGTTAAAATAACAGGAAATAAAACATATGATACAATTTGATACAGGTTCTCACCACCCACCGAGCAATGCACAACAGGAGTTGAGTAGTGAGAGTCAGACCCAGAGAGCCCGAGGGCCAGCGCCCGAGAGCTGTCGCAGCAGATCCCGAGCCACCCCTCTCAGCAATAGCACGACCGGGAAAACTAAACAAACCCACCAACTCCCTCATGAACGAGCCAGCACAGGAGTTAGCAGAGCAGCTAACACAGGAGTCGGGGAGAGCGTCAGCAAGTGTACGGGAGCGAATGAGAGAGAGAGAGGGAGAGAGTAATGGCTCCCAGACCCCCTCCTCGCCTCTGCCCCCGGCATGACGTACTGTGGCATGAAATCCTCCCTTGGTCAGTTGGGGTCAGCTGCCTGAGCTGTGTGTCCCCTGCACGGCCTGTAGCGAGACAGCGAGAGCTGGGAACGCAGCTGCAGTGTCAGCAGCGGCGAAAGACCTTGAATTCAGTGCAGGCATTCACCAGCGCCAGCTTGGACATTATCAGTGCTGCTCTCTGCATCCAGGAACGCAGCTTCCCAGCAGCCACGGTAAAGGGAGTTAACTCTTTCCTGGCTGAACCCAGCACAATACATCAAATCAGAAGGTATTTGTAAAAACTTCATAGAGGTGGTTTTTTTCCATTACCTATTGCTCCAGTGAACTGTTAGCACCTACCAGCAGCCAGATAGTTTTTGAACAAATAAAGTTCCAGTTTTTCTGGTTTCCTACAGAGGACCACCATCTTCATCCCCTAGAGCTGTCAAAGACATTCCGGTTCCTGATGCAACCTAAGCCATTAAATTTACTGTTTTGGTTTGGTTTTCTTAAAACCAAAAATAAACATAATGAGTTCCTGTTCTCCTGGGCAATATTCAGTTTACATACACTCATTCTGAATGAGAAGAAATGGAGCTCATTTTGCCATTTACTGCCACTGTGGAATGCTGATTGCCAAATCATAGCAGCTATGCGCCTAGATTTTTCCTCACCTTTTGATAGTCCTCCTTTAAGTAATTTTGCTAAAAGTAAGCTGTCATTTTGAGAGCTCCGCATCATTCCAGGATGATACCTGATGGGTTTCCAAGTGCATGACTGGTGTATTTAAAAAATGTTTGCAATTTCCAACTTGCATTTTAAGTTTCCGTGTTTCCATAGTTTCTTTTAAATGAGTATCCAAGTGGCCGATAGCTTGATCTGCTGGGAACAGTTCTATTATTTAAAACCCACCCCACTCAAACTGTTTGCTATCTCACATATCACAAAGATGTCTACAGACAAAAGCTGACCCGCTCTTGGAACTGATGCCTCAGGATGATGTTTTGAATACATAAGGTTCTGGAAATATTTTTACTCGACAAATTGGTTATATCCACTCCATTATTTGCCCAAGTGGGAAAATCCAAAGTTTAAATTCTCAGCAAAACATAGCTCCTGGCTACATATACAGAAACCAAACGTAGAGGTGAGAAAGTGTTACCAACAACCACAGCAGTTTATGCTGTTTCTCTTGTCTAAAGGCACTGCATTGGCAATGTCGGGTCATTGTACTCAGGTTTTACCCACAGGTCAGTTTAGCCAGTAAGGGATATTGCACAGATAAACCACATTATTCCATTGTTACTACAACCACTTAACAGTAGACGAGAAAATACAAATGGTAAAATGTACATGTAAGTAAATTAAAAAGAAGAAACACTTCTCACCTTTCCAAGCACACTCTAAAAAAGGAGAGTATCAAAACATGACCAGTGCACTACCCCTACAATTTTTCATGTTTTTGGTGAAAATCAAGGTGTTAAAGTTAGGTCTGATAAATAAGGGAAGTAACTTGTTCTGTATTGTTTTTCTTGCCCCCTGAGATGTTCTCACAACCAGCTTTTCACAGGAAGATACATCCAGCTCCAAAACTTACATGCTGTAACTAGTATATTCAATCCAGTGAGTGGGAAACAAACACAAGACAAGGAATACTGACAGCTCTTTTAGGAAATAGATGTGGAACTGTGGAAATAATGATTTGGGAACCTGGGCTGTCATTAATAATACCTTCTGAGACTTTTCTATGTTAAAATAACTACTAGAAAATTCTCTTTTAAAACTCACTTAAATTACTGTGGAGATTTAAATAATATTTCTTAAAACCAAAACCAACCTCAAAAAAACCCCACAGAAAAACCGTGTAGCCAGTAGATGGTGCTACATTCAAGCAGTATTTTTAAAATACGCCATCACTTTCTATGTGCCATCAAATTGCGGCTTAACAGGGGACTATTTAAATTAGCATTTGTTTTGGCCTGCTCAGAAACACCAATTACAGGGCTCTCTCACTGACTGCTCCTGGTCTCATGCTCCTAACGATGCTAATATCTCTTTTGGCTTCTAATCACCATTATTGTCACTTTTGGCAGAAGTCAGTCTTTTCAGAAACAATACTGAGATATTATGCCTCTCTGCATTTACATTATTCTGCTGGTTTACTCTGAAATCTTGAGACTGAGGCAATCAATTTTTTCCATTCATTTCCCTGCAACCAGTATGTAATCTAAGGTATTCAACTCCTGAATTTCTATATAATGGAGTGATTACTGTAGTGAACTCTGCCAGAGACACAGAATTTCATCACCATAAAGCCTATTCCAGAGCTGTTGATGAATTCATGTTGTTCCATGCATGAAAACCACATTTTTCACCAGCATGTCTGAAATATGCAGTGTATCACAGCAAAAGCAAAAAAAAAAAAACCCTCCCACACTCCTCTCGTCCCCTGCCCCTGGCAACAAAACCTACAGCATACAAATCCAAGGCAGGATTCACCTGAACCAAACCCAACAGACTCCAAAGCAAGGGCAGAGGAAGGCTCCTCACCTACACAACACAGCAAATGCTCATAACAGAAAACGGGAGTCTCATGAGCTCGTGTCTTTCATGCGCCCTCTATATGCTTGGGTTCTTGCTTTTAGAGAAGGTTGGCAACTGAGAAGACCCCATTTCCTTTGCTTCTAGCCAACGCTTAGTGGCTTGTAATCCCTGACCATCTAAGTCACACTGCCTGTGAAAGCTACATGGTAAGGGAACTTGTACGCAGATACAATCTTATTCCACCAAATGGATTCCAGTAATGCATAAGCATATGGATTTAAGTAACACATAGCTAAAATTCTCCCACCCAAAATTCCAGTTTCATCTAGAAGACAATGAAAATAAATCTATCAAAAAAAAAAAATTTAGCTTCATTCAGAAAGTTAACTGATTTAACTTGAATGCTTTGGGAAAACCTTCAACTGTAGCCTTCAAGAAACAGCACAGGTGAGACATAGAACAATGAACGCAGGAGTCTCAGTCCAATCTGCAGCCCATTCAAGAGGCTGTAAAACCTAAATGAGGCCAAACTGGAACTGGTTTCTCTTCGCCAGAAGACAAACCTCAGCATCCTCCAGCAAGGGGATTTGTGACAGATACGGCTTTTCCTCACTGTCAGTCTGTAGCCTCCCATTATACCGCTCCTGTAACAACACGATCTTGAACAGGAATGAATCATCAATGTCTACATCTCCAGAAGGGAACTAAACGCATTTCCCTATCTTACTGGGATTAGAAAAGGAAATACTTGGAAGTTGATAGATGATCAGATGATATGATTGTAGAAGCAGTCAAGATAAAGACTCTTAGAGTATCAATATGGATGAAGCTTTTAGAAAGTAACAGTGGAACTGTCTGAACAAGTACTGTGTTTTGTTGTTGGTTTGGGTTTTTTAAATACTGATATCTGATCAAGATCCAAATCTGGTTGGGGTGGAGGGGCAGGAAGCATACTTAAAGCAATAACCAGGATTTTAATAAGATGCTGTGCAGTTTGCTGATGTTCCAGAAAGATGCAAACTCTGCAAGCTTCCTCTTGCAACTGTGTAATCTTATTAAAGGCAAACTCTACTTGAACTAACATCCACTTCTGATAATCTGAATTAAGGATGTTTCATTTTTAGAAACACATAATTAATATAACACAGTAATTCTAGTCAAAGGGGGGAAGAATCAAAAAGAAGAGCATAGATCTATTCTGAGTACTTTATTTGAAGAATAAATTTTATTTCAAGGTCAGCTGTATCAACCAAGACATAACACTTCTGCTTATGAAGAAAAATAAGAACAGGAGAAAACATGTGCTATGCACTACACACAGGTGGATACTTTTAACAGCTTTGTTAAAACCAGCAATACTTTTCTTTCATCCAGAAAGGCATTTACTTAATATAACGAAGACAACAAGCTATCTGAAATCAATTAGTTACCATGTTTGTTTTAAGGCCTCCCACTGCTGCAGACTTCATCGCTGTAGGAAGAGTTACATGAAGAAAATGCAGCTCCTCTTTGCTGAAATTGCTTCATTCCTTCCTTTTCTTTGTACAGTGTAGACCAGAGTACGGCAGTCGACATCTGCACACGTTTGGAGCTATGCATTTTCCTCCATGTTGACAAGGTACTTCACATACAGCTGAAATGAGACACCAGATACATAGTATGTCTTCAGCGCAACACAGGATCATTTCTCTTCTTTGACTCATTGTGCTAGCACAATTGTTCCCCCGTGACTGTGCTGGGACAGCATAAATAAAAGCATAATGGAAGAACCAAAAAGCTATGCCTCTCAATTTATGGCACCATGATCTTCACTGGAATACAGCCACAGTAGTCTAGTCTTATTCATGCTTTATTCGCCTTTTAAAATACTATCATTTTTGTTGTTTTTTAAAGCACAGGCTATTTTTGAGATGGATGCCTCCATGAAAGCGAGGGAACACTAAGAATTCCTGCAGAAACTTGAAGCCGGTTCTTGGATCCACATCCATGAGGGCACAGTTGCCTCATACTAGCTGTTGCTCACACACTGCCCTTCTGCTCCTCCGGAAGAAGCACAGAGGAGGACTGAGCATGCACAGCTTTAATTGTCCCCTAGCTACACACCAGCTCAGGTAACAAGCCTGGGGCTGTAATTTCCTTAGGAGCATCTGTACCAACAGAAGTCCAACTGGATGCAGAACTAGTTAGTTTGGGAACAGTGATTAATTTGACCTTCAGAACCTGAACACTTCTATCATTATTGCTGGTGCAGGGAATGGAGCTAAGCATTTTTTAAGTTCCTTGCATGTCCCATACTTAATATCACCCTCTATCTATCTGAATAGGGAGGATAAGCATTTTGCTAGTCGAATGGGAATGTTTAACTATTATTTGTTCATGTTTGCTTGACCCTATATATTGCAGAAGAACTAACATTAGCTGATTTGGATTCCCACAGCCACACAAAAGTATCAGATGCAGAGGACTTAATCCAGACACCTTGCAGCCACGATATCCAGTTCAAAAGCAATGTTTAAATGTGCTTTCTCTCAGTCTCCCAGAGAGCAAACAAAACCCATTCATTTTTAGAGTCTCAGGATTACTGCCTTTAGCATGAAGGCAGTGCTCTTATGAGCACACAAGGTCCTGCCAGAGAATGGTAGATAAAAGTTTTTATACTCATCATCTGCTTTGGTGAATCCAAATTTGGGAAAATGCAAGTGGTTGTTCAGGATTAGTACTGACTGAAATTCTTGCTGATTACAGACGGCTGCCTCTTACTCTTTCAACAGCACCTGGAGTTGATTCGGCCAACTTATCCTCAAAGTGAGAAGCAAATTTCAGTTTTCCATGAAATTCAATGAAGCTTCCAACCCACATCAGTAGTGACAGTGGTTCTGCAATGGTCACTTTCAGTTCTTTGTACTGGGGTCTCGGTTTATAGAAAATACTTCAGAAATATTGACAAGACATGCCAAGTAATGGATTTGGTGACAATCAAAATCTGAATCTGAATTTACTCAAAGTGGAAAAGTTCTGTCTTTCTGACCAAATTAAAAAGCCATCTGTTCCTTAGGCATACTTGTAAGATCCTCAGTGTGCAGAAGCAGCTCTCACTTACTATTCTAAGATACCTTCCTAGCAGCCTTGTTAGGCGTTCAAGATTTGAACACTATATCGGTAAATCAAACAAGCAGAGAAAAGGTTCAACGGAAAATGGCAGAAGTCATTTACCTAAGTGACATGCTCCACCAACCCATCCAGCTGGACAGCTACAAATCCCAGGAGCCACACAAGCTCCATTATTTCGACAACCTTGGGGACAAATTGCTAGAAGAAAAGAATGGGTAAGTCAGCAGGATTTATAAAACTTATATAAAAGAATCCTGACAGAATGAAAGATTCCCAATGATACAAATCAAAATAGCAAAACACATTTTCTTCCAGGCCAGATACTCAACAGGTATAACTCTAAAGGCATTTCCAGAAGCATGGAAAAGGGGAAAAAAAATATTTATGTACTGTGTTAAGAATTTTGGTTTAAATGTTAAGAGATGTACAATTTAATGCAAAATAATCTGACACTCTTTTATCTGAGTATGTACCAACAATGCAGGTCCTTCATTTCCATAGTAATGCAATCACATTTCCATAGTTTTTAGCCTCTTAATACTTCTGAGATGTTTTTGTTACTGGAGTTATATTTTGAATCAATATAAGTATTTTCATGAACATAGATACCCACCTTCTTGGCACCTTGATCCTGTCCAGCCAGAAGCACAAAGGCACTTCACAACTCCGTTCACAGAGATGCATTCCCCACCATTCTGACAGCCTCCTTCACAGCTTACTGCGGAAGAACAGCATACACGGTGCATTTCAGAAGCATCATAGCACTTCAGATACTTATCTTTAAACAGCCAGTCTATCATCAACTGCTTGTTTCATTACATCTGCAAAGACTACAATTTCAACTATTCAGAGCAAGGCACAGTTCCATAAGGAGTGAGTGAGGATGACAGAACTATGTCTGCAAATGCCAACTCAAAATGCCATTAAAATTAAACACGTGCCTGAAAGCTTGTTGAGCATTTAGCCTGAGAGTACCAACAAACATGACTATCACTATGGCACAGCTCCACTACCCCCAACTGTGAACCAACTGCTCATCAGCTACACGACAGTAACTACTAACATGCATATTCTCGTTGATCTTGCCAAATCACAGCTGGTAAGGCAGTAACATGTGGTCAAGGATCCACATATTTCCTTACCTGACAGGACCTACACATAACAAGAGGAAGAAGAGAAGGGGATATTACTTTGACAAATGAACTGATGACTACAGCTGAATGGTGTCCTCCCAAAGGCCAACCAGCTGTCAGCCTCCTCGCTCCAGAAACATTCTACATGTCAAAGCCCTGAAGGCCTCATTAATGAAGCATCATTTATGCCAGGCATATGACTGGTATCAACTGTGGTGCGCACCAGCTTTGATTTATGGTATAATCACTGTTTTGTACAATCAAATGCATCCTTTCACAAGCATGAATGTAAATGCATACACCACCTTCACTGTATTGAAGAGAAACAACTACCCTTCATTATAATGATGGACAGTTGGGATGTCTGCTTGATACTTGGTAGAAAGAAGTCCAAATCTCTGTTCTACCACAAGTTTTCAGCATAATTTCAGCTAACAGATTTTTGACACAAATGCTGAAAATGCAAGGACATGCAAGTCAACTTCAGCACATCTAGAAAAGCTCTTCAAAGCTTGTTTGCATATTTCTTTGTCACATAGTGTAAGTTAATGTATTTAATATTGATTGCATTTGATCAATTGTGGCGACTGGGAGAAGTGCCTGAAGAGTGGAGGAAAACAAGTATCACTCCAGTCTTCAAGAAGGGCAAGGATAACTCAGGGAACTACAGCCTCACCTCAGTCCCTGGGAAGATAATAGAACGGCTGACCCTGGAAATCATTTCCAGGCACATTAAGGACAAGAAAATCATTAGAAATAGTCAGCATGGCTTAACCAAAAGGAAGTTGTGCTTGACCCACTTGATACATTTCTATGATGAAATGACTGGCCTGGCAGATGAGGTGAGAGCAGTGGATATTGTAAGGGTGACTGAGCACTGGCACAGGTTGCTCAGTAAGGTTGCGGAGTCTCCATCCTTGGAGATACTCAAAAGCTGTCTGGACGTGGTCCTGGGCAACCTGCTCTAGGTAGCTCTGCTTGAGTAGAAGGGTTGGACAAGATGATCTCTGGAGGTCCCTTCCAACCTCACCCATTCTGTGATGGCACATCGCACCACACTGCAAGTTGGTACATCCAGGCTCCATGTGACACAGCACTCTACCTTAACGATAAGCACAAGCACATCCGTTGCCTGACAGGGATAACATGATAGTAGATACAAGTAGGACCTTTACTCAGATACAAATGCAAGCCTAGACTGTAGTATTAGCATAAACTGAATCCTCACTCTACTTTTTCTGTTTAAGCAGTACTTCTCACCTTCCTTCTGATTTAGGCTCTTCTGAGAAGGTCAAGTTCCCCCTTATTGTGGGGTCCCCCTTGTCAAGACCCCACAAACCTACACTTTCAGTAGACTTTTAAGAAATTACAGAAAAAATAAAATCCCTTTGCTGGAAAATGAAGCTGACCATGCTCCAGTTAACCTCACTGCTGTCAACACTGTTATGTCTACTCAAAACAAACAGTTGTTTCCCAATGCATTACACAATTACACATTCATTAGAAGGCTCTACCTCATCTTTCTTATTCCTCTATAATGTTAACAATTTTTATATCAAATTATTATCACTGGCAGTTGAATTACCATCCAGTCTAGTTAACATCCCAGAGCTACAGTTTAAGCTTCTGCAAACTTAAGCCGATGCTACTACGTCAGGTACACTCAGGTCATGCTTTCTCTATAAATACCAAATACAGGTTTGTTAAAAAAAAACAAAAAAGCCCAGATACAACCCAACCATAAGACACCAAAGAGCTGCAGAAAGTAGCTGAGTTCCTCCCCCAGACACCCATTAGGTTACATTCCAAGCAAAGTCTTCCAGCTATTTCACATTTGAAGGAAATAAAGAATGCCGCAGAATAAACATCCAGCACAGAGAATCCTGTGAGGTGTTGCTAGCTGCTGTGACCACAGTCAGACAGAATGCTTATTAAGTTCTCAGCACAGTGACGACTGCCCAACTGATTTACCAGCATCTGCTCAAAAAGAACTTCTAGACATTTTTTAAGTTCCAGCTTGAGGCTTTTCTTCTGCAAGGAAAAAAATGCTTTCTTTTCCTTCACTCTCTAGGGATATCTTGCTACTACATCATTTTCCCCTCAAAAATTTCAAGTTTGCTTCCCCTTTTATCCCAGAACTCAAGCTGTCATCAGTAGTTTGATCAGTTCATAACAATATAAAAATGTTTTCTTGGACTGCCTTTTCCAATCCATGTATATATTCAATAGGCTTCACAAAAACGCAAAAATTGGTCTTTGTTGCTCATCTCTGTCATGACAACAATACATTGCCATGCATATCTTTAGCAACTTGCCCTCAATATTACCAACTTGCAAATACTACACAAAAGTTTTGACCACCTAGGACAGAAATATGTATCTGTACAAGTGATCTTGTTAAATTAGAGTCTGTTAGAGAGCTAAACAGTATTTAGACTGCAGAATATTTATATAACACATAAACAGATATTTTCCAAGGGACCAAATTCTCTTAGATTCTCACAACAAATTTCAGTAGATATACTCTACCTCATTCTCCTGAAAGCATACAGATGCTTAGGACATGCATTTTTTGACAGTAAGGCAAGAGGTCTAAGGAATTAAGGTCATTGCTTCAAAGATCATTAGATCCTGGACTTGAGGAGACCTAAATTAATTTTGTTTGTTTTCAAACTTCTTGCCTTCCAAGCTATCACTTGTTTGGATTTTACTCACCTTTATGACAGTATCTACCCCCATAACCAGGTGGACATCTGCATTTTCCAGGTCTGAGGCACTCCCCACCATTTTTGCATTTTGGATAACATGTTGCTGTAAGACAGACAACAAACAAAGCTTGGATAAATATTGGTGAAGCTTACCAAAATTACTGCTTAAGTACATACAAAATATGCATTGTTCTAGTCCCTGAGCAAACATTTTGTCTTCACATTTCCCAAGATATACTGGCTCTACCAGTCCACATTGCCAACCTAACGTACAAAAAAAAAAAAAAAAATCACGTTTTAGATGAAGGGCTAATTGAGAACTAAAATAAACACTGTATGAATTGTATTACCTCTTCACACAGGACAAGATTGAAAGCAAAGAAAGTTCTCCTGATATGGGGTGGGTTTTAGCAATTATTAGCCACAATGCTCTGTAGTCAAACTTCTGAAGGAAAGAATTTGGGCATGTTACATTAAACAAGGTTTAAACTGAAACTCTTCTCGACAGTGTTTACTTTTGCATATTGGGGGACAGTTTAAAAATACTTTGTCCCCCCTGGGAAGCCAAGAGGAACAGACTTCAGTTGGCCTTAGCTTTACACCTCCCCCCATGGAAATGGGATATACAAATGACTCTGCGGGTCAGGCTCAGAAATCTGTCAGGCCTCTAAAAGCATAATTCCTTAAATACAGGCAAGTATTTAAACATGCATAGGGAAAATGATAAAAGGAAGTCAATGCAGAAGGCTATCCAGTAAGTGGATGCTTACCCTATGTTCAAACAGTAGAACGCTATCTACTGCCAATACGGCCATTTCCGACAGCTGGGTCTGCTCCCCTAACCCAAGTGCCTTCATGAAGGAACTGGCTCTCGGTTGCGCTCCGTTAGTTTGCTATCATGGCCTCACCTCACCAGAAACTGGGCATCTCTACCCATCTCCTCCCACCTCACTTTATTTGTATCCTCCTCGGCACCTACCCACCACCGTTTCATACCATATCCAAACCCCGGCTCCCAGACCTTCCCGGAGGGATTACTTGCAGTAAGCCTGACAGCTCACACACTGGTACCACTGAACAGCCCTGTTCAGGCCAAGACACGTCCCCAGGGACCACCACTTAGGAACAGGTCGCCACAGCCTGCCCTGCCCGCTGCCCTTC